TTTTTGGTTTTTCGAGACAGGGTTTCTCTGTGTAGCTTTGTGCCTTTCCTGGAACTCACTTGGTATCCCAGGCTGGCCTCGAACTCACAGAAATCTGCCTGGCTGTGGCTCCTGAGTGCTGGGATTAAAGGCGTGCACCCCCACAGCCTGGCTAAACTTTTTAAATAGGTTAATAGGACATGCCCGGGTCTATTTCTTCTCTCAAATGCATGAGATGGCTTGAGGTTCAAATTCAACTGTTTTTTTAAAAAAATAAATAACAAGATTTACCTAAGCACTGAGCTAGAAAATATAATACATACATACATATACACATATGTGCATGTACAGACATGCATAAATACATACATATACATGTATGTGCATACATATATACATGTGTACATTCTCTCACACATGCATAAATACGTATATGCATATGTACATGTCACCGTACACACACACACAGAGGCAGAGAAGGAGGGGTGAGCATGGAGAAGCTAGGGAGGACAGGAGGGAGGGCAGGCACAGGGGAGGAGGGATGCTGCAGAGGAATGCCATTCTGTGAAAGGGAATTCTGCAAGGAGTTTGCCTTCCTTGGCCCTGTGGAGAGAAGAACAAATGTCTATTGACCCCATGCACTGACGACAGATCAGAGAAATGACCCCACCCAAGTCCAGCTTAGTGAACCAGTGAGTTTAGTAGGGTTCCTACAGGACATGGGTGACTCAAAGGCAGTTGCATCACCCAAATCCAGCCCAACATGGGTGACTGCTCAGGAAAGCCATATCCTCAGAGCTCCCTACATGCCTTGCAGGCAGCCTGGCAGGTGGGAGAGCCTTCTCTCTCTTCCCAGCAATTGAGTGTTTATATAACATGGCGGGGAGGGGGAGCTTGGAGATCCTGTAAGTTTCAGGAGTTTCCTGAAACTTGTGAGTTTTCTGTACCTCTTGAGTCTTCATGAGCCTTCCTCCAAGAGCACAGATTTCAGTCTGGAGGTAAAAGCTACACAGCATCCACATGTAATGCTCGGGACTAAGAGGTTCCGGAAGCTTTCTCAAGGTTCTCACTGATGAGCTGGCCAGAGCACCTGGCTGAGTTCCCGCTTTCCTACCACACCTGCCTTTGGGAACCACTGAGGCACATCTGTGGGACTGAAGAGGCCAGGGGCCTATGAGCTTGGCTGCCTGACTGTGGCTATCACAAGCTCTATGCTATTGTTGCTCCCTGGGGGTCCCCCATGGTTCACAAGGCCTTTGGGGTAACAGTTCTTTCCAGGAGCCAATGAACTATGTAAACATGCAGAGTCTCCTGAGACCTCAGGGTCCCAGGCCCTGGAGTCTCTCAGCACCCTTCCCCCTGAGGCCTCATGACTGCTAACTAACAGTCCCGGGGCCGGGACACTGGGGCTCCCTGGCTCACGAGTGTGTGAGTCCTGGCCAGCTGTCTGTTCTCCAGAGTTCTTTGTCTTGCTGTGTCTGAAGTGTGTGAATTAAGGCAAACTGTAAGCACAAAACATCATAGGACCTCAACCAAGGGACCCATTGGATCATTCTAGAAGGGCCAGTTCAGATGGCAAAGTTCACTTGGATCAACCTCTTATTTCTATCTGAAGTGACAAAAAGAGCCATGGTGTCATGTGATGCCGGTGGCAGGACACTGGCAGGATGACACCAGGCAGGCTCCATGTCCCCATGAGCACAGACTTTTCACAGTGCCAATATTTTTGGAAATGGGTTTTCAATGTCCTAGATGGCAAAGGCCCTTTCCCAGTGACATCAGCTTCTGGGAAAGATGTCACTTCCATCAGGGATGCAGTAGGATTCCTGCCTCTTCCTCTCTTGGGGCTCTGAGAAAGAGAAGGACACTAGCCAACTCCTGTGTCCATCTGGTGTCACTACGGCCATGCACCCAAGGCAAAGCACTGGATTACACTGTAACTCTAAAACTTGGGGTTTGCATTTGAATCTCCAAACTGCCTTCTAGGGAGGAAAAACCTTTTAGGTCTATATTCTAGGCTTGGGGGCTAGGGATATGCTCAGTTGGTACAGGGCTTCCCTAGCACACAGGAAACCACGGATTCCATCCCCAGCACTGCATAACACACGCACACGCACACGCACACACACCATGTGGTAGTACACACTTGCAATCTTAGCACTCAGAAAGTAGAGACAGGGAAGAGAAGTTCAGGGCATCCTCAGCTATGTAGGGAATTTGAGGCCAGCCTGGGCTATATGAGACCCCTAGATGGAAAAAAGAAATCTCAAACATATTTGCAAATGAACGCTGCGACATTTGGGTGGATGCTATTGCCTAGTAACCCTGAGTGTTCCTGTATAGTGCTCGCTGGTCTCCCTAAGAGCCTCATCTGCACTTCTGTTTCTGACAACCACTAGCTAAAGGTCCAGAGCAGAAGTCAGTGCTCTATTAGGAAAGCAAGTATCAGGGCGGAGCCGTGTTAACCACCATCCTCTCTGAAGGTCAGAATCATCCCGGCTGGAGACAAAGCTACTTCTGGAATAGTGAAATAGAGCCTTCATATTCCCAGTGGGATGATGAATTAACCAGGGCAAATGGTTTTGTAAACATCTCGAGTGTTTGAAAACGGTACTGGGGAAGACCGTGAGTAGAGATCTGTGAAAGATCCACTGGGCTGAGGAGCCGGCTCAGTCAGGAAAGCAGTAGCCTGCTGAGCAAATACAGGATCTGAGTTGGATCCCCAGAACCCTCGTAAAAGCTGGTACAGCAGCAAGAGCTTGGAAACCCACACTGGGGAGGTGGAGACAAATGGATTCCTGGAGCTCACTGGCTAGACAGTCTAACCAAATCAGCAAGCTCCAGGCCATTACAAAAAATAAAGAGGAGGACTGGAGAGATGGGCTAGTGGTTGAGAGTTTGCTAAGGAAGCATGGGGACCAGAGTTAAGATCCCCAGAACTCAGCAAACCCATGTATGGTGGTACATAATCCCCATGTTCGGGTGTGGCCAGAGATAAGAGGATCCTGTTTGCACACTGGCTGTCACTGAAGCCGAATCAGCAAACTCTAGGTTCAGAGAGAGACTTTGTCTCAAAAACTAAAGTGGAGAGAGATAGGGACAGGGAGAAGACATCCATTATTAATATCAGGCCTACACACACACACACACACACACACACACACACACACACACATGCACACGCGCTGTCCCCCAG